GGCTCTCCACGGCTGTTTTCTGCTTTCTATTAGTGAATGACAGGTTCTCATGACAATGGGGTTCATCCCTTGAGGTGTAATGGGAAAAATTATAAGAGATAAGGAGAATCCAAGCCCTCATCAAATGTTAGCTTCGGAATGTTTCCAACTGAATTGTAACCCTGAAGGTTTTCGCCAAGCCCCTCGATGTTCACAATAAATATGACTTAGGTTGTGACACTGTATATAAACGAAGCGAAATAGTCGAAGCAGATTCCCAGTGATTATGTGAATAGCATGCTTACGTTTCATCTATAGGATCCGGAATTCAGTATTCGGTTAGGTTAATAAATTCAAAATGATAATAATACCCACCAACATCGAAACAGTTGTGCTTGGTATCCTCGCTGGTCACTCTTCCCTTGCACCTCGTGAAAGGCTCCTACACAACCAAGCATCTAAAACGGCCCGTGCTGAGGAATCCATATTCACTCTCCCGTGGCGGTGTCCCACCAAAGTGAGAGGATGAAAGCCAAAATCCAGGGTTATAAGCGGGTCGGTGAACCACTGTCAGTTCACCTAGAGTAGTTGGCTAAAAACCCTGACTTCAAACCAACCAAGAGGCGTACGAACCACACCCATATTTCCCCGGTTGTGGCAGCGGTCACCGATTTAATAGGGTATCGAGGTGTTGGGCATGTTGAATGTTTGGCCTCGTACAACAGCGATGAACTGGACACTGACCCCCAAGGGAGTGGAGTTTTCACACACCACCACCCCAGTGCCTTGGGAGTCAGTCTTTGGTTAGCCGAGGACTCCGGTTAAGAGTTTCTCAAGAAAATTCACCAACCTTGGCCTGAGCAACCTGGCGGTATTCAACCCACATTCAAATCATGGAACCTTTTTCATAAATATTACTATAACGTGATTTTTCTGGCACAGTCTGACCACATCACACACATATACATACATATATTAGAATAAGTAGAATGTGAATGACTGGACAAAATTTCCCTGGAAGCACACGACCGGTTTCGCGGTTCTTATCGCTCGTCAGGCATGCGTATCCGGTAATCTTTTGCCAGTTCATTCGTATACTTGTACCCAGGAAGTGTATTTTCGTCACAACAACCTTGTTTGAAACACCGGGTGATCACTGAATGGACAGCTCTTTTAGAGCCAGTCCAATGAAGAATCAGTGCTATGATTCAATGTTTTGTAAATAGGTTAGATGCAAATAACCGCAACAAGCGTGACCTGATGGTTTCTGTTGTTGTGACGAAAATACACTTCCTGGATACAAGTATATGAATGAACTGGCACAAAAAAAGCAATTTGTCGAACTTTTCCTGCCGCAACACTACGCACCCTTTTCGCGAGCCGACCGGTGATGTCCGTGAACCTTGAGGATAGAGGATGCTTCACCCATGATCACGTGTTTTTTTCTTTTCTCATGTTCAGCAAGATATGTAGGCAGAACGACCAGGCAATTGTCCCAAAGAATCAAGGAACACAAACCGGTCTGGCTACGTTCAGGCACAAGAAAAACGATTTCAAGTGCAATCGTAGCCCATCCTGCGGATACCGGGCATTAGGGTGGCGATGACGCATTTCGAATCATCTACAGGATACCACCAAACCATTCGAAAGCCGCCCGTCAACGTCATCTCACAACAGCCGAAGCTGTGACCATCCGATTAATAAACCCATCGCTTTGTTCTCAAAAGCGAATCGTACAATCACTCAGACTGCCTTGGCCACAACGTGACACACTCCCGAGATAAAAATGACCTTTCCCATGACCCCACGATCGTAACGCGTGATGACACGTCCACATCCTAATCGTTTTCCTAACCGTGTTACGATCACATCTTCCCTACCTACCCTTTCCCAACCACTTACCAAAAACAATCACAAACCACGAATCACACAGCCATTGACGAACATTTAAATTTTATTTTGACTATATAACTGTGTTAGCCCGAATAATAAGTTGTCGAAAACGAGCTTGTGCGCTAAAACCAGTTTTTCTCCTAATAGCCCCTTTGATGAGGTCTGTAGAAAACTCAAAGGGTTCGAATATCTGGATCTCGACTCGAGCTAGAGGACCTGCAGACACAATATTGGCCACATTATTTGGAAAATGTCGTTGCACACATCTGGAGGTTTCTGGTACAGACCCGAACGTGGGATTTGAGATGACCTATGCCCTCCCAACTAACATGAATCATTGACGACTGGTATGCCAACAACGAGTCAACACATCCAGTCAGTTGGCCTGAGCCTCCTTCCTCAGACCTCGTTGCCCCTGCCCCTTAGGAGACTATCCTAGTTTTTAAGCAGACTTTTAATGGCCTAATTTGGCCTAATATCGCATCTATCTCTCTGCTGAGACCACCCGGGACAGAACATAATCCATAAATCTTCCGTCATCAGACTAGACCGAAATCGGCCTTGTCATGATTGTATCGCACTCAGAGAGCTGGATTTTTCTACTATGCGATTTCATTTTGGGGAAAACTGCTATTCATAATACGTTGACGACTCGTCATTTATGTCTCTTCTCCTCTTGGATTCCATAAAAACGGATACTTTCGATTTTTATTCGAGTCTTTTTTTAATTGCACACTTGAGTGTGATGAACAGCAGAGGGGGTGCACCCCATAGGCACGAGGACCTGCCGCTCAGTGGTGGTACCCGACAACCTAAGCCCAGGGACTTGGAGTGGTGAACCACGTAAGGCCCCTATAGGTTAGGCATGGTATTGAACGGGACGATAGCAGAGCTGCCTACCACCAAAGTCGGGTGGTGGTGGTGGTGAGGCTCGAAACTCGGACCATAGGGTTAAAAAAGTCGGTGACAGCGCCACCACTCCATATATATGGGACATGCATTGGAAGGATTGTTTGGTTTCCCTGTCCTTGGTAACCAGAATTTGCGACGTCGGTGTCAACAGGTGATTTATACTTAACTGTAATATCTCTGCCAGCAAAAACGCGAATATAACGCGCAATACTTCGCGTTCTGCTTCGCAAAAGTTTTCGCGCACAATTTCGCGAATATAACGCGAATTTGCAACAGGCACTTTGAGCGTTTTTTCCGTCCCCCAAGAAACGAACCTCCTTTATCCCATATTTTCTCCTCCCTTTGTTTCACCCCATACTATACTCACAATATACCTACCTCATGCAATATTACACTTAGTGAAATATTTCACTACCCACCCACCCCCAAAAAGATATATCTTTATTTACATATATATACGCACGAATATATATATATATATATATGTATGTACGTAGCATACTGAACCACAACTATTTTCTCACTGTAACTAAATAGCACAATTTTCCCCTGATAAACATACGCTGGGAAAAATATAACAGTACGTCCTTCATCGAGCTAAAGTGATTAAACGAAGTGCGGATCTGTTTTACCTGAAAAAAAATAATAAAA